TTCCGCCCCTTCCCCATGAATTCAGCCATTCTCCCTGGTCTCATCACCTCTTCCACCCATGCCCTCAGCCCCGTCTATGTCATCGTAGGTGTTCTTTTACTCCCTGATCACAGATGAGGTTGGTCACTTGCCCAAGGTCATGTAGTGGAAAGTGAGGGAGCTGGTGTTGGAACGTAGGGTCTGATGCCAAACCCGGTGTCTTCCTCTGTGCTCTGCGACTCTCCTTTTTAGGATCCCACCTCATTTCTACCTGCAAGAACCTCTTCAGACATGCTCTCCTCAGTAGGGACCTTTATTTAGCCTTTACTGTCTGACCCCTCTCCAGTCTCAACCTCCTTCCTTGTATCACCCCTTAAAGAGCCATTTGCTAAGGGGAACTTCTTGGAGTTCCCCCAACATACCAAGGTCTCCCTGCCCCCGGGCCTTTGCACATGCTGTTTCTTTTATCTGGCATTTTTCCCTGTCTAAGCACCATCTTATCTGTCAGGGCTCAGCCTTTCCTTAACTACTACTGGGAAGCTGTATGCCCCCTCATCACTTCCTCCAGGACTATATTGGTGCCCTTCCTGCAAGCTATGCTCCTACCTGGCTTGTTCTAATGGCTCATTTACTCCGATGTCTCTCTCACGAGGCTCCAGGGATGGGGGCTCTTTTGTGAACCCTCCCATTCCCACTGCCAGCCATGGCTCTGGGTAAAGTCCCAAGGCTTCCCAAACACCTGGCTAGAGGCCCTGTGCTGACTGACCTCAGAGAGCCCCAGGGAGCCACAGCTGATAATACTACCCTCTTAAATAGCAATTGGCAGGTGGGCAAGTTGGATGGTACCAATTTCAATACTAAAGACCTTATCTTTACTCATCTCTCACCACTTTATAGCTTCCACCAAGACTTGTGAAGATTTTCCATAATTCGATTAGATGTGAATAAGTGACTTATCAAATAATTCTGATTATAGGGAAGTCTGGTTAGTGTTAGCAGTTTCCTGATACTAGACTTTTCTTCCTGCCCTGGTTTGGGTTTTGTTTTCTATGTTCTTGTTTCATATCTCCTTGAGTGATAGCAATGGAAGCTTCCAGGACTGCATTTGGTATACAATTTCTAATTCTTCTCATTGCATATGACCAAGAGGAGTGACAAAAAGATCGCGAGTTAATTTTGTAAGCTTCCTTTGGCATGAATATATTGTCCAGATTGTTTCTGTACCTTTCACTTTCAGAAGTAATTATTCCAACAGAAAGCATGTTAGTATGCTACGGACCAACTCCTGGAAGTTGCATCCTTTTGATGTACTGAATAATTGGAGAAAAAAGCTTCTATCAGCCACCAATAGAATATTGAAAGTCAATGCCAGTCTAAATAGCAGTTTACGGGGTACTAATGATAGATAACTAATCCGTCCTCCCATGCAGGAAACAAATATTTATTGAGCACCTGTTTGAGTGAAGTGCCAAGTAGGTTCTGTGCAAGGGCGGAGGAGAGCCCCATTACGGATGCATGCAGGGAACTCATCGTTCAGTGGTACAGGTCTCAATCCAGGCTGCACATTAGCATCGCGTGGGAGCTTTTAAAATATGAGACCTGAGCCCCACTCTCAGGCATTTTGATTTCTTCCTTTTGGAGTAAAACCCAGGCGTCATTCTAAAGTCCCCCAAGTGTTTGTGATAAGTAACCAAGGCCGAGGACCACTGTTCAAACACAGGGATTGCCAATCCCAGCACTGTTGACATTTGGAGTCAGCTAATTCTTTGTCGCCAGGGGCTGTCCTGTGCATTGTAGGATGTTTAGCAGCGTCCCTGGGCTCTACCCACCAGATGCCCTCCCCTCCAGGTTCTGGTAACCACAAGTGTCTCCAGACATTGCCAGATGTCCCTATGGGGGCATAATCACCCCCAATTAAGAAGGGATAAAATGTGTTCTGTCTTTCTAGAGACTGGTCAGCATCTGAGCTGACACTGAGTATTCGTCCTTCAGTTTCTTTTTCCTTCTTACCACGACTGTATTTGCACACTATAGAAACCAAGCGTCAGGGGTGCCCTATCAACATGTTGCAGCACGAGGAATGAACTGGCAGCTCATATGCCTTCTCTGCCCTGAAAATGCATTTACTGCAGCCCAAACCAAGGTTTAACTGGCATTTGTTCTGAGCATTTTATATATGAATCTGGATTTCTGGCCTCTGAAAAAGTTGGAAGATAGCTAGCGTGGGACCTGCACCCCAGTCGGGTAGTGGTTGGCTGGAGCTAGGAAGCGGCTGGCTCTTTGGACAAGATATTTGCTCTCTACTTAGCCACAGTCCTTGCCACTGGCCACCATTACACCCAAACCATTTTTTCTTATTTGTGTTTCCTGTCTGGACTCCAAAGGCTTAGAGTTTGCA